GAATCAAACCTTGGCCTTAGCCTCAAGCCTTGGGGGTTAAAGCCTGGGCCTTGATGGTCAGGGCCTTGGTCTTATCCTTTTCCTGGAGGGTCAAAGCCTTTGATCGGCATGAAAAATAACCCCCAAATCTGAAAGCTCTCGAGGGGAGTAATGTGGCCCAAGTCCCTCTCCCATAGCCAGCTACCTCGCCCATGTATCTTCAGATCCAGTCTAGATCCTCGCCAATTTGTTGATTACCACGATCCCATGTGCTTTTACGTGTACCTACCGTAGATTCTCTTCAATATTCTCAGCGTTTATACGTTCAATGACGTTCACGGGGGGCGTATCAGTGTTGGGATCAGGCGTTGGTACCGTACACTCTGCATTTCTCGGTGCCGTGAAATGGCCAATGATCACCCCCAAGCCGATGCCCGCTACGGCCAGAGCTACCGTGATGATCCAGAACATGGGTCTGGGCCATTTGGACGTTTTTCTGTTTTGCTTCTCCTCTTCCATGACGCTTCGGTTGCCTCGACTGTAGATCTGATCGACTAGACCAGTTGCTAAATATGTAACTTTATCTCGCACAACTTTGCGACCTTTCGCATTGAACCCACACGTCAAAATTTAGATTACACATTCATGGATAAATGCTATGAACTTTGATACGTAATAGCTAACGTGAACACTTAACATAATTTTCAAACATTCAGTTTTAAACACAGTTTTAAGCGAGTAAAGACAACTGTCATGAGCTACTTCTAGTATCTGAACTGGCCAAAGGAAGGGAAAAGTTGAGGGTAAGTTTTCTCACTGAGACACACTGAGGTCTGTCGATAGAGCCTATACTTCCCAGTGGCATATCCAGAAAGCTTACTGTCATTTTTATTTTTAGAGAAATTGAAAGCTTTAAGCTTTACAGTTTAAAGATGATGCTCTCCACTTTTTTGGAGGAAGGGTTTGTGATTCCTTTATTGACGAAACCCAATTGAATTATAAAAATCCCCATTTCCCCTATCCCCAAACCAATGCCCGGACACGCCACTGCAACTTTCTCTCTCTCACTCAACTCTTGAGTAGGTTCTCGCGATCATTAAGAACAGCGACGTGAATATGTACAAATGTTTTCGAGGGACACTGAAAGCCAATGATCTGTAGCTTGAATATAGTCTGTGCTCGTCATTTTGAGGATTTTAAACAGCGAGGGCTCAACACGAGGCACGAACCAAACAGCTCTGGCGCGGAATTCTTTTTTTTGGGGGGGTGGGGCTTGGCCCCTGTGTTGCTGCTTTTTCATTTACTATAGTTAAGCCACCGACTGATCCATTTCAGGATGCTGTTTTTTGCTGGAAAATAAAAGAGGTTTTAACACATCACATCAGAATCCTGTTCAGTTCAGTTCAGTATCCTCACTCTGAGGGTCTTGTGGTTTAAATAGCGTTAACATAGCATTTTTATAGCTGTGGTTAACACACTGGACAGGAAAAGCAATCCTCAGTGTATGTAAAGGTGATTTCATTAAATATCTTCACACATATTTAATTCATTGTTTGGAATAAACACCAGTGCATGAAATTGTTGGTTTTTTTCGGAATGCTTACAAATGTGACATTTTGTATGTTCAAGAGATTGTAAAAGCTGTATATAAATTTAGGGATTGAAATTGGTCTATTTTTGTGTATTGGTCTTGGCACAGCTGTTAAGAGTAAAGGTTTTTTGTCAGTGGGACTTCAAAAAATGGTATTTTATTTCCAGAAAGTACCGTGCTTCTCCAACGGCCTGCAACTGGCAATAGCTGACTCGATATGAGCGATGAAACACCTCTGCAACATTATTGCCACACCCTTCCTAATACTTTGCTACTGTGTTTATGTGGTAGGCCTACTCTGCCTCCAGCCGCACCCCCCCCGGCCACCGCCGCAGGGTGCCATTGCCACACCCTTGTTGCTGTGTCCTCAAGCAAGTTGTACTCAACCCTGGCCATGACCACACCCTTGTACGTGTACTCTTGCCACACCCCTCTTGACATTACCCCACTCATACTTCCATGCCTTTAAAGTTTGCATTCATGAGATACGTTAAGTATCAATAGATATACAGTGTTTGCTTAAAAAAAAACCAGGAAACGGAGATTTTTTTATTTATTACCATCTTGGACATGGTTAAAGACTTTGAAAATTGGCAACCACTATTTATCAACTAATGATGTCCTCTTTCGTATGACACCAAGAAATCTAATTGACCATCACAGGTGACTGAGCACGAAGCAGTTCAATTAACCATGTCAGAACTAGTCTTGGACCAGATTCACCCGGCGCAGCCTAACTCCGACAATTTTCATACCTAAACAAAGAAGAAAGACCAGTGTGACTTAACAAAATTTTTATTCCCTGACCTAAAGGTAGTGAACACCGTTTTTTTTTTTAGTAATTTCAAAGGATTAACTGATTACAGCATATAATATTCACCGCAACTTACATTCCACTGCCTTGTTTCATGTGTGAGTCAACTGCTTTGTGAAAAATCGAGAAAAACAGCGTAGCATTTTCAACGCTTAAATCGAAGGTCTTGTAATTCATCTTGCATAAAATCTATGGATTACAGGGCATTCGTAGTAGGCGAACAACATCCGCGGCGTCAGGGTGGGAAACAGGCATGACAGGTTCTCATTCCCTTATAAAAGGAACAATTTTCAACAGCTAGAAGAAATCAATGAATTTACCTTATAAATTCACTGATTACTCCTAGCTGTTGAAAACTGTTCCTTTATAAATTCACTGATTACTCCCAGCTGTTGAAAACTGTTCCTTTTATAAGGGAATGAGAACCTGTCATGCCTGTTTCCCAAGAGTAATGCGCCTCCTTGACAAAATGTAGCATTGCTGATTCATGAAAAAACTTCATCCAGGAACGCAGTGACACCGAAACATCGTGACACCGAAACGAGTAGGCCTTTATGACAATGCACGTGCGCGCGATCGTGGTTAATGACCGCACCTTGACGTCAGTTTACACGTCAATGACAGTTCAAAAACTCCATGCTTAGTTGATTCACTAATAGTTATAAGCAGGGAAGAAATTATGCCTTGAAACACGGGAGGTTTAACGTGTGGAAATCGTACTTTCTGTTGACGAAAATCCCTTTCACCTTTCTGCTCGGAACAGCCACCCTATTTGGATCATACCATTATTTTCTGGGGCGATTTGGAGTTGGCAAAATTTTCGCATTAAGAAAATCCTTTCCGTAAAAAGATTTAACCTCACACTGATCCAATTTATTTTCTAGTTTACACCTTGCACTCAGGTTCCTATAATTTCAGTTTACAATGCTTTTGGTGAATTTCTGTTGGTATATCTTTAGCCACTGTTAGGTTTATCCATTCATTAATGGAGACTCCCCCGACATATTGCAAACACAAGAAAATTGGTGCCTGTTAAAGAATGTAATGTGCGAAATGAAATGAACTCTTTTACAATGGTCGGCCGACCATAGTAAAAAGAGAACGAATTTCTGTTTTCTCGAAAACTACGGCATTCTGGGGGGAAATATTTTACAGACTGTTTGAGGCTGTTATGTACCTTCAAGTAAGATATTTCAGGATTAACCGGTAGGCCGATTTTTACCAGTGGTGTACGCTACCTTTACCATTTCGGTGCTTGCTCGACCGAACCTATTGTCCTTCGACTTGTCCCCATTCCTTTTAACACAAGATTCAGCTCTCCTCATCGCTTTCAATGGTCACGTCTCTCTGTCCTTAAGGTCTCAACCGCAGCGACGATTCTTGCACATAGGTCATTGATATCTTTGGGTGGCGACTTGTTAACTTTGTTCTTAAGATGTCTCTACTAAAAGAAACCACAGAGGGTGAGGTCAGGGGACCTTGGTGGCCACTCAATCTCATGGTTGAACAACTCTCGTAGCCTTTCCCTCACGATGATCGAACGATGAGCTTGATCTCCATCCTGGGCCCACCATAAGCGGCGAAACATTCCAACGTGGTGTTCAAAGTGTTGTTGTAACTGCAATACAATTTCGTCGATGATAATCTCAAGGTAATGTTCACCACTGAGATTACCAACAAAGAAGCAGGGTTCAATGACTGTGCTATCTCCACACAGACCTATCCAAAGAGAAATCTCCTCTCGGCTCATTTTCACATCAAAACTGAAGTTAGGTGAGGTATATGCATCGGAACGTATTCGCAGACATTCTGGTTATTGACTTGGCCATTCATAAAAACGCAGCTTTATCCCCAATCACAAGGTTCTCCAAGAATCTGGGATGCCGGTCAAGGAACCACTGGCAAAATCTTAGTCGTCTGGGTAGATCTGCATCAAGGAGTTCGAGTCGCCATAGCATCTTGTAAGGGTATCTACCATTGGATGTCCAATCGAACACTCTTGTGGAAAAAGGATGGCGAAATTCCTACCATTTCTCCTGCCAGACACATGCGGGTCTCTTTGTAGCAACTCACGGACAGCCCTGATGTTGGCATCTGATCTTGCCGTTCTTTGTCGGCAATGTTTCCAAATATGGATCTCACAAGAACGAATTGGAGAATCTATATCTCGTAAAAGTGAAGTTGGAACAAAATAATTATATCTCAGTAAAACAGACTTCGAAAAACATACCTTACTTTTTGAAAACATATACATGTACTTAATAAAAAAGGAGAAACACAATACTCATAAATTTTGTACGAAAGTCCTGTAGTGCCATTAAGAACTGCAAGATGAAATCATGTCCGAAAAATGCATGTAGGATTTCTGAAGAGTTTTAATTTCTTTTGAATGTAATTGAAAATAATCTGTAAGACTGCCTAAATGTAGTTCATAAAAATATTTTAAAACACCAAAGTTATACTTCTTTTATGCTACTTCCAAAAATACACCAGACAGGTTAGCCATTCCTACTGGTTGACAGCCCGTCATGTGGCCGGTTTTAAATGAGTGATAAAATATGATAATATCATAATATGGTTAGAGGGGTAAAAAAACATACGTAAAAATTATTGAATGAAATCGTTCAAAAATTATGAAGTTTTGAAACTTGTTTTGACTCTCTGACCCGGGGATTTTAAGAATGGCAATAACTGTGTGCTTGAACGGATGCTGGTTTTATGTCCCTCATCACTAGCTCTTGGCGGTTGTTTTATGACAACTTCAGACAGGGACATACCATTAAATGACTAGAAGGGTGTTTGAAAACAAATGAAAGAACATTTGAAATTTTAAAGCTAATTTTGACTTCTGAACGCAAAGGTGTTTTCAAATGGGAATAATTGACTTCTGAACGCAAAGGTGTTTTCAAATGGGAATAAATATGTGCTTCGCCGGTCTTAAACTAACATATACAAGACCAGCCCAGGAGAATGGACGGAACGAAAGACCAAACGTACGGCTTGGATTTAGTCGCGTACATTCCCCTTGGCCTGTCTTAACGATTTATTCCATAATTAAAACACTTTGCAAATGTATTTTTGTTCTTGATACACAGTATTACACATAAATATAAAAAAACGTACTTAATGTTAATAAAATGCATAATTTGAGAAATTGAAGCATGTTGGGGGTTTCCAAAATCTAAGATTTGTATTTAAAGGGACAATTTAAAAGGACAATACATCATTTTTACGCACGAAGGATCAATTATTCATGGCATGACGAAGAAAACTAAACAAATCAACAGTACTTTTATTTGAATGAAATTTGTAGGATTATCAGATTCTCACAATATCATACATATAGGTGCCACGATTAACCATCGAAAGCAAGCACATCCTGCAGCGTGCTGACTGCTGATTGGATGGCGTGAGTTGTGACTGCCATCTGCTGACGCACGATATCCCAGCTTGCATCTTGGTCTGGTGCCTCGTCGATCCGATACATAGCGTCAACAATGCCCGGGAAGGCGTCTGCGGCGTAGTAGTTCTTACTGCTGGGAGCGAAGACTATGTGTCTTCAAAAGTGGGGGGGGGGGACAAAAATTAACCACAAATTACCATCTCTGAAAGATTTGGCCGGTTGAATCATGCCTAATTCAAGAATGTCATTCAACAGTTATGCAAAGCCAAAAAGTCTTTTAAATTTGCATCTAACCAAAAAACCTTCAGAGAAATTTAAACCATTCTGACATTCTGAACGAGGATAATTGCAATGAAGCATGTACCAATTGAAATCGAGGTTTTATGAGTAATACATGCCAACAAAGTTTTTTTGTAGGTGAGTGAAAAAAATGCATTTATGTGATTTTCACCAGGAAAGTCAAACGAGGCTTAAAGGGTTCACCACGCCCTTATATCCAAGGTTTCGATTGCTCTCCCGCAAACACAAGTGCCATCCCCCGAGATTCAGTTTACAAAATTATTGCAGGAGAATAGCAAATCTGACATTCTTTTGTCGAACACCATTCAACACTTTTAAAAAACCCTGTTTTTCCCACATTTTTTTCCAGTAGTGTATCCTGTTTGGAGTCAAGGAGGAAACAACTGGGGCATTTTTGCGACACAGAAAAATTTGTTCTTTCTAAAAGAATCCTCCACCCCAAGAGGGCGCTAAAACCACTTCCATTCATGAAAGCATCGCGTGGAACTGGTAGTCATTGTTTACCAGTGAAACATCGTTATCTGCTATATTTCTGAGTTTGAAACCCTAATGCCTGTAATGTTATTTCTTTATTTGATGCGTTCCATTGTCAAAAAAGACCACGATTTAAAAAAAAATTAATCGCGATTCAAATGTGGCCTCAGTTACAGTGTACTCTCAGCAAAGCCAAAGCCGACGAAACTACGAGGTATCTTAATTATAAAGCGCTACGCATGAAGAGCTTAGCCACGCGATGAGTTTTCTGAACACGTATTGCTTATCGTCTCATAAGTGGCCGAGTGATTAAGCTGGCTGTCGAAACGCATCGAGTTTGGGGGGTTGAATCCCGGTGGCTGCTTTTTTTAAATTATCATTTTAAATAGATTTTCAGCTCTGTGTCACAACTATAAAGCAGTTAATTTACCATCCTAAAGTACCAACAATACCTTAGCCGACCGGGTAAGCTCTTTACTTTAGTACAGGGTCGAGACGTGTGGCCGACTCGACGGCCAAGGCTTAGGGGCTTGACTCGTTTTCTCCCTCGCATGGTCGCTCGGCTTTTTGGGATAAATGAATGGACGGGGAGGAAGTGTGGTGGGCCGGGAACCCCGAGACCCCAGAATGCTATATGGAAGTTGGTAACTGCGATTCCTTGCGAATTTTAGGATTCCGTGCACCTGAATGCTTGGTCAACACATAAACTGTTAACATAAACTGTTATTTATTTATGATCGATTTTCTTCTGAATTCTTACCTGAGAAACTTGCGGTCTGGGAGCCCAAGAGGGTCAATGAAAGCTCGTTCAAGTTGCATTAGTTGATCGTTAACTTGACGCACGGCCATCAAACTGTAATATCAGAAGCAACGGGATGTGACATTCATTTGAGGTTCGTAGGTTGAAAATCATGTTTGCTGGAGCCATTGTTGTTCGGATTCAGACATTTTGTTAATTACGTGAAATCGTTATAATGTTGAAAACAAGTATCGATTTGAAGAGTGTGTACGGTATTCCATTACGTTCAAGTACGATGCAGATAAATTGCACATGAAGTAGTGATTTTAATGATAAAGTCTTACTCTTTTTTGTCAGTCTGTGAAATAACTTTCTCAAATTCAGTGGCGGCAGCTGAAAAGTTAGCCAGAGCAGAGTAGATATATTCTATAAGATAGAAAAAGGAATAATTATATCATCCAATGCAGTAGTCTTGTGTAAAGTGCTTTGATGTTAATACCGGGTAATAGATCTCTGACATCTTTGTGACGATATTTTCTGGTCAAGAAACAAGTTCTGTAGCAGCAGTAGGCCCCCTATTTGGTTGATTGCAGTTTGACAATAGTAATTATTCATAAGACATGCAGAGAAAACTGGTTGGAATGTGGATCCCATACTAACATTTTCCCTAGGACCGCACTTCCCAAGAGAGATCATTCCTCCATAGTATCACTACAAACCTTGCCAATCGAGCCCCAATCACGCAAAGCTTCAGAACTTGTAATCTTTTCTTTCTAAGCTTTCTAGTAATATCACTTTGATTTTATTGGACTTGGCTTGATCTTATCAGACTTAATGTATTTGAATACAGCTAAACTGTGATATAACTGCATACTCGTTAATGTGCCGCTTACCGAAGGTAACTCCTTTGTCGTTCATCTGTGTCTCGTACGCCGCCTTCACCGTGTCCATCGACCCCGTGATCTTGTCCACGTAATCGGTACAGTCAAAGGGCAGGATGACCGACTCGGCCAAGTCTCGGGTTACCTCAGCCCATAGCCTGGCAACAGCCTGATGCCGTAGGAAGTCGTAATCAAGGAACATCTTCATGTAATAGAAAGTCTCGTAGACGGAGTGGTAGACAGGATAGCTGGATATGCCAAGCGACTGTGGGCAGAATTATCAAGACAAGAAAGTAAGTTTAAAACATCTCAGCCATTTGTACAATCAACAACAAAATTGTGTAAAAATATAGACATGCACATGCACAGAGGAAGTACGACCGGTTAGCTTGAATTCTAAGGAGAATGCAACAGGGAATAGGGTTGAATAGCAATGTCCTAAGTGAAGAGGGTCAAAGTTCGTGCTTTTGAAAATCTTGACTTAAAACATTAGGCATAAAATGGAACAAACAAGCTTAGAAGTAACTCGATTCTGTACATAAAGAAGACAACATCACTCATTGCCATTTCATTTTCTATCAGGGAAAATGAAAAAGCAACTGATATTTGGTTTTTTTTTTCACTTTTATTAATGCTGTGATAAGTTGAATGATGTGACTTACAGCATCGTATCTGTAGCTAAGATCAACTCCCGGCACTCCGATACGGTACATGAATGGAGCAAAATCGCTCCCCGAACCTAAATTGCTGACTCTGTTGGAGAAAAATGAAATACCAGGTGAGAATTGGTTTGGTTTTTAGTATAATTTTCATCATGAGGTGAATGATTTGACTTACAAAATCATAAATGTAACGAATTCTACTGCCGACCACATGAAATGGTATAAATTGAGCAAAGTTGCACCTGCACGAAGAGTTTCAACACTATTCAATGAAGCATAAAATAATGACTGGATTAGAAACTCTTGTTTTCCAAATAGAAGAAAACTTGCCCCAAAGTTACACTCCTGGTGTAGTTCTAGAAATTCTTTAAGGGAAAGGTTACTCTGTAACTTGATTATTTTATGTGTTTGTGTTTAGTGGTTTTGCAGTTTGGGGGATTTAACTCAAATCCATACCGTGTGGTATTCATTGCATAAAATCCAGACGGATTTAGTATTGTTTAGAAGACATGAACAGTTGTCATAAAAAATCTCGGTTTTTCTAGGGCATTTGTGTCCTTCTTAACTTGAACACGGTATATTATCCCCATAAAACCAGACAGCTCGATTCCTCTGGTATATGTCAGCATCGTTGCGATGTTATTAGCAACGGTATCAGAGTCAAGCAGAAAAAGTATACCAAATTTTCTCTGATGTTAGTTACATTGTGATCCAGAGTTGTGATGACTCGAGTCAATGACTGGACTTGAGTCCGACCCGAGTCACATTTTGGCGACTGGATTCGACTCAAGTTCCGACAGGTTAATGACTCGACTGGACTCGAGTCACTGCGTGAAAAATGACTCGATTCGATTGGAGTCCCTCATTAGAAGACCTGACTCGGGCGAAAATTAATAATAAAAAAGTCCCAAAAATTAAAGTAAACTTTTTTGAGAAAGAAATATTTGTAGTGACTTACATTGCCGGTCTGAAATGTTCATGTCATGTGGTATTATCATATCGTAAGATGTGATGTGACCACATGTAAAATCCAAGTGGTAAATGAAAAAATGAAAACAGTGACTTTCTCTCTTGTTTTTTATTTAGCATAATGGGTTCAAATGTTGGTGACTCGAGCTAAGTACTTTACTCAACTCGATTCGACTTGATTTTTTTTTGCCTGATGACTCGATTCGACTCCAGTCACTACGTTACAGTAACTTGACTCAACTCGACTCCAGTCACTGATATTAGTGGCTCGTTATAACTCCATCGTAATCAGACAAATCCTTTTTTTAAGTAGGCTCATTGAAGTCAACGAGTTCGTCAACTTTTCAGGCACCAGAATCGTCCATGTATTAGAAATACGCAACAAACAGTAGCCAATTCCGGTTTAACTTCACTGGGAGCAGCTTGCTTCTGGGTAGAGTGGAAGCAGCCACACCAGTATGTCTTGCTTAAGGACGCAGAAACTGCATTGAAAAGATATGTTGAGCTTACACTCAATGGTGTTGATTTAAACGCAATAATTATTGCATTTTGTGATAAAGAATTCTACTCCATGTTCTGTACAATGTCCTGAAGGCTGTAGCGATTATGACATGCACCCAAGATGGAACTCGACTTTAAGAGTTGTAAGTCAAAAAATAGTAGAGCTAAGGACAAGAACTACAGATTCAAGATTTGGTGCTACCTGGGCAATGTATCGGGATCGTTAGCATTTGCAGGAGCGCGGTCACGCCAGGTATCGTACAGTGACATCGACAGGTCCTCTGGGTCAGGCACCTGTGTTACAGGGGTGGAATCGACAACAAATATTTGACATTCGAAGTCGGAATCATCAGTGACGAATCTAAAAGATGATACGAATGCAGGGAATGGAGTTGACTTCTCGCACCACAGACTATACTCATAGGCTATGTCAAATTGACACTTTTTGCTATTGCTGGCTAGCTGTGAATACAAACGTAAAAGTAAAAGTAACACTTTTACTCAAGAATTCATGAAAATACACCCCATTTTCACGCTAATGGAGCTAAGGATGTATTTTGAGATACGAGTTGTCGCTAACCACTACCAAGGGGTAATCTCATGTAAGCTTTTGGCCAGCTGCACAAAATTGCGGTCAATGTTCTAGATCGTAGATCTAGGTCTAGATCGTAGGCATCAGGGTGACCAGTTCAGCACCCTCGAAGATATTTTAGATGCTATAGTTTTCTGCACTTTGATACGATTTTACATTGTATAAAAACTACCTGACATCTCTTTTGGGGTTAAGTGTATTCAATAATGTTTTTATGAGCATGTAAAACTGTCCATGCTTTTGTTCAACTTATGAATGCAAAATTCACCTCCTTACACTAAGAACATTTCTGTGGAAAGGTTGTTCGTCGAGTGATTGCCATTCACTGAAGAAAAGGAAACTGGATAAACTAGAAACTAGATAAATCAACACAACATGGAGCTTTTCCTAGAATGAGATCTCACTATTCTCTATGATTATGCAAATCACGAATAGGCACTAAAAAGGCACTTTTAGAAGTACAAAACCAAACTCGAAAATAAGGATAATTATAACACGCAGGTAAACTTTCAGGTATTAACAAAAACACTGCTTTGCATAAATCCCCCAATGCACCTGTCCCCGTTTGGCATGTAATTTTCAAAATGTTCTTACCTTCTTTGAGGCGGCAAAAATAGCCTGGTAGAGCAGCGGGGTTGATCTAGCATAAAGTGTGTAGTTACCAGTCACGGCAGAATCAACATTGATGTACGCCACGGCCCTCGCAGCCAGGATCCTCTGAAATTCCTGTGCAAACAGTAGATGGTTTGAAATATTTTGAAGTCATGCTCCTGCTTCTTTGCAGTGCTGTAGTCGATTACTTTTTGAGTACCAAATTCTCTTTCAACTATTGAACCGGTTAATTAGGAGGAAATAAATCTGAAGAACATGAACATTATAGGGTAAATACAAAGGTAAGATCACAAAATAACGACTTTTTCATGAAAATTAAGTGTTTGCAACAAAAGTATACATATACTCGAAAAGTACTTGGTGGAATACTTTTCGAGTATGCCCTATTGTTCTTGTTAAAACTAAATTTTTATAATTAAAATATGAGAGTCTGAAAGCGTAAATTTCTCCACGACAACAATGCCTCTTGGCCTTAAAAAGTTTAAAAGCTTTAATATTCATTAAATAAATGATTATTGTGACGTGGTAGAGGGCGCTAGTCACTAAGCGCGGTGCAAAGTTGCAGATGGCGCTCAGCCCGGTAACAAGGGCAGACCACTGATCTGTATCAGTAGATCTTTGGTCCTGAGTCAAGGGCTGGTCCTGAGGTAAGGGTCGACAATCCTGTGCAAGGGTTAAAGTCAAATAGTCCAGTCACGTACAACCACGCAGTCTCGCCGTCAATAGCGCCCTCTACTGGTGTATTGGTTGAGTCTGGTGAATAAACTAGCCACTTTGGATTGTTGTATACAAGTCAGGTGTCCAGACGAGGTATATTTCAAGTCAGTTCTGTTCGGGTTGTGTCACTAAGTTTTGGGCTAATCATGTTAGGCATCATCCTAACGAAGACCAGAGATCATTGAACTTTCTTGGGGGATGGTATACTTCCATCCCAACAGACTCGTCCCTAGCCGTTCAGGGACTTTCCGGAACGTGCCGTCTGACCGTCGCGCCTCGAAGAGGAGGGCGCCCTCGCCTTCGTCGGAGGGGCGCGACGTCACATTATCACCGAGGGAAATCTCTCAATGATCGAATTCGAATCTTTGCACACTGCTAAGTATGTAACACAGCAAGGTTCTTATACCTTGTCCGACGTTTGTCCGAAATCAATAACTGGCTCATAAGCCTGGGTAATTTCTTTCAGGAACCATTTTACAGTAACATTTGATCCAAAATTACCAACGGGGGGTTAAGGCAATTTTAAACCGTTTCCCTTGACTTTTTTTACAATGCAACCCTAAGTAACATTTTGGATTTCACTTAAAGAGGTGCCCGAAAGCAACTACAGTATCAGCCAATAACCCCAAAAACTTATTCTTTTTTGAAGACCGAGGTAATTTCAACGTACGTAACTGTGGCCAATATCTGGCAAATGAGTAACTACACTTTCCAACTGTGTTTGCAGAATAGAGTAAGGAGTCACTGACTTGACAAGTCCTCTCCGTCCTTCAATAAAATCAACCTACCTCTACAAACTCTGTAGAACCCAATAGACCGTACTCCTCTGAGCCCCAGCTACCGAAGACTATGGTTCGTCTTGGTTTCCAACCTGAAAACAAATAAAGATCAAATCAACTTACTGTGATGAGAAGAAGCTTCTTCCATGTTTGACCTCTTTTTTCCGTTGTCAGCTCTCAAAAAGAGCAAGAAGTGGAGCCATCAAGAGCTTGTGCCTTTTGACAATATTTTGAAGCCTAACCTTTCCCTTTCTATTTTCTCCCAGAGCTCCTCTTTGTCTGAACAAAAAATGGTGAGGTTCATCTTCAAATCCGTTCTCGCCACCTTAACCCAATCGGTTCTTAATCCATTTGGGTACTACGTCCAATGAGCCATTAAGGTTCGGACTGCACATTCATGACTTCTTTCAGGGCGGAGCTACTCCCTGAACTAATCTCCATTCAGTACGGAATCTCACCTGATTTCCTCAGCTCTCCAAACGCACGTGACACTTCCATCAAAGCTGCTGTACCACTACTCGGATCTACAGCTCCGTAGACCCAGGCATCACGGTGATTACCAATTACGACATAGCGATCTAAAGACCGTAATGAAAATGAAACACTAGAAGAAACTTGAAAGAATTGGTTTAATCAGAAGAAACCAAGAAGTTTAGTTCTGCAGGTTGCAATACTTCCAACGGGTGTTTGAAAACGGCTCGATAAAGAGAACACAAGTGGAGGTAAAACAAGAAAGTTTGAGAGGTGCATTCCTTTTCTGTATATCTGTTGACAGTTTTTGTCGGCTGTTATTATAATTACGATTTTCAGTTTGGTGGCGCTGTTTTACCAAATTGAGTTTTGTTTCAACAACTACACGATTAGGAAGACAGAACATTTGAGTGAGAATTTCTGCCTCTTGTTAGATGCTCTCATCATTTAAGGTAGATTGCATCGATGCATGTTGCTTTCCACTCCGTGTTGTGCTTCCCACTCCGTGTTGTGTTTGCACTGCATAATGGTTTGCTTCGTATCTTTATACGGTACCTGGTTCAACCTCCCCTCTGATTAAACCGATGACGTCATATGTCATCCGCCTCTCTCTGGTAGTGTGGATGGTCATTTTCACATTCCTTTATGAAAAAAAAAATTTTTTTTGTCTTGATATCAGCATCCAAACCGTGAAATATATTTTTCCTCAGAATGTATATTATTTGAAACCCTCATTAAGCATAATCCACAAACAAAACTAAGCAGTGACGAGAGTCCACAAAGAAATTTCAGCTGAACCCGTGAGGAGTTACCAACCTTTGTGGGTTGCTGAAGCCTGGACCAAGGCGGTAGGTGACAGGTAGGTGACCCCTCCAGTCTTCAATGACCTCTACACCGGTCATGTTGCTAGATTGAGGAAAAAAGTGAAACTACTGTCAAATATCTGGTGCTGTTCAGATAAAAGATGCTTAATATATAGTTTGGGGAGAAAGTAGGCGAAGTTAGGATTCTGTTTTTGACAGTATAAACAAATTGGCCCCTGATTAGCAACAGTGAATATATGAAGATACTTCTTGAAGTATGGATTTTTATGAAAAATAACGTGCATTATATTTTATCAAGAGATAACTCTCTTCTCAACACCGGTCTTTGCAGGTGTGGAATTACCCTAGAAGCAGTTGGGCATCCCCATAGCCGATGGGATGGACAGGAATCTTGGGCAAGGCTGTGTCCTCGTCGTCTATGCGAAAGGCAAACGCTGGGAGATGACGAAGATAAAGTGTCAAAGGTGGCTAAGAAAGCGAAGGATGAAATCTTGTCGAAATCTTCCTTCTTCGATAAAATGGATCAAACATTCTTTACAAACCAATCCAATCAAGAGACCTTTACAACTATGAGAACTCGTTAGCAACGACACTACCCTGCAAGCACTGCACTAGCTAGCTATTAAAAAGACCAGTAATGGCTGGGTTTGGTCTCCATGCCAGGCTTCGTTTCTAAGGTCGAAACTAACTACAAAAAAAAAAGAAAAAAGAAAATGGAGGAACTTTAACCATGACCTTAAAATGGAAAAAACGAACTTAATCAGTCAATACACCTCGACAATAAACATCTACAATGGATATTTTATTTTCATCTCAACAACCATCCTGACCTCAAGCGGGGACTCAGATCTTGAATTTCTGGATTTTGTCTTGACGTGTATTAGATTTCTCTGCATCTAAGAGACAGACCCAAAAAACAGAGTGTTAATAAGATAAGTTGCCATTACGTTTGGCTGGGTAACCAGGTGTGATAGGGTCGCCCTTTGCGTCACTGACAAAAGTATTCCCCCTTTGTGCTCCCGTCTCAGGCAGCCACCATCCGTCTGGGTACACCTTGATGTCACCGTCATCGATGGCGTAGTCTGCCGGGTCGGAGTACAGAATCAGACCCTTGGCACCCGCAGCCTGCGCGTTCAGAGCCTGTGGGTGACGCAGAAGGCACGAGGTCATTTGAGCAAAACGATTGGATAAAGATGGTTGTAGGTGGTTGGACGACCAAAGAGCGTAGACGTTTTTTAGGGTAAAGATAAATGTAAAGGCAACAACATCAGATTGATTTTAGTCGTTTTGCTGTGTGTTTGTCCTTGTTCTTTAGACAGATTTCATTTTGGTCTAAGGAGAGATAGAAAAATTTGGTAACAGACAGGAGGGTAAAATTTCAGGCATAAACTACAAACTGTGCAGAAACCACAGCATTTTGTAAAAAAAAAGGCTTTGACAGATTTGGGGTTCGAGTGAAGAACATCACCTTATTTCCTCGGAATATCTTTCCATAGCGGGCAATGATGATGGTGCCAGTCAAGTTGAGGTCAGGATGGTTTTTCTCCAGGTATTCAAAATCATCCACTCGAGCGTAATTAGCATACACCAGGTCGCCCTGTGACGAAATAAACGCATAAGTGTTATAATAAATTGCATCATGCGCCGAAAGTAAACGAAATGCTCTACTTCCACATACCAGTACCGTGGGCAAACTAATTGATAAAAATGACCAAAATCACTGAAAGGCTTTGCGCATGAAATGCATGATAAATCATGGTGGTACAACGTAACTGCTACTGAGTGGGTTATAAGGGGGGTAGGCTAATGTTACCTCTGGTTCGCCTTGATATGAATATGCATTAAATGGCGGCACGACATCAGGGTGGTCGTCGTCAGGTCTAAGCACCGCCTCCTCCAGTCGCGAGTGGAATATCTCATTGCCATCTTCGAGGATGGACACCTGACTGAGTAAACAAAACTTCTTAAAAACTTAAATCCCATATAAACAAAACTTCACTAATTATTGTAGTATGCTGACAAACACACTCCGTTTTCCCGAATGAAAGTTTGTTTTTGATAGAAGTTATCCCCAATAACAATTTCGGAAAATATCTAAAAATTGCTACAAACTGTTTGAAAAGGACTGAAAATCCGCAGTTTGGGCCGAAAGAAGTATAATTATAATGGGGGTAAGGCAAAGTTACTCGTGAAAGCACATGGTACGGGTTGGTCGTGGAGCTGTAAAACTGCAGTTTTTATAGCTCCATTTATTTGACCGAAGTCGGGGTAAGAGGTTGGAAAAATAGATAACCAAGAAACGAGGGCATGGACAAGCCATTTGACCGATATTCGCCATATTTGATTTGTGTTCAGTTCAACTTATTCGAATTCGCAGAGCGATTTTTTTTTTCTGGGAGGTTCGAATTCGCGTTTGCTCTCTCGACCAGTATACACGGGCCCCTTTCAAGGACTATAGTGCCGGGGGGTGGTTATCCCCCCACTTTTTGGTGAGGAAAAAAGGTGTATCTGGAAGTATTTTTCAACTTCCCAACAACCAAAATGTATTCAGTAGTGAAGAAAAAAGGAGAAAATTAAAAAAGCTTTGTAATAATACGCGGTTGTAATGTAAATTAGATCCGCGTCGGTGTCATGAACAGTGCCCTTTAATGTTTTGTAGTTTCCCGCACAAATTAAGGCCTACTCCACGCCACTAACTACAAAGAGCTTTTTTTACCTTGTTTGGAATATTGTCATCGGGGTAAGACAGTAGTACATCATAAGGAACAAGTTTAGCCGAGTCTAGTCCTTGTTCTTTCCACGTGTCCCGCATGTACTCCGCGTTGGAACGCTCAGCTGGAGAGCCACCGATATGAGGAACCTTAGTGAAGTACCTATCAGTGATCAATATAATATACTTTTAACTTTATGATACCACAAGGTTATAGAATCATTTTTTAAAGCTTGTTTTTAAAATCTAGTTTGACATCGCGATAAAAATGAATAACGTGCGAGTAAAAATGTTAAAAGGTCGCATTGATTTACATTAGGTAAGATTCTTAAAAGTCCTACTGAAAGTCAGACTCCATTTACCTTCAACTCATATTTTTCTTCTCTTTTCTTAGCTTTAAAAATCAACACTATTTTCAAAAGGTAGTTCATGTGAAGTGAACTGAAGTATGACGTCACTTCAGTTTAAACCACGCCCACTGCACATGTACAGCACATAGAGTTAACTGCATTGGTCGCCGTTTACACGGAACCATGGAACCGGAAGTTAACGCGCAACTTCAACGATCGTCCAATGGGACCCTTTAAATCGTGGCGCGTCCGCCTTCGAGAATTCTGATTACAGGCAATTTTTGAGCGTATCAAACTCTCAATACTCAGTTTCACATCCTTTCGTTTATCTTTTGTTCTATTGAGTATAACCCGCAAACTTGATAAAAGCTGCCAAGTAGAGTAAAATGTGGCTTTAGCATTTCCTAGTCGAGATCTGCGATAGTCCGTTGATTACTATGACCCCATGCCAAGTGCTGTTACGTATACCTACCGTAGATTCTCTTCAATATTCTCAGCGTTTATACGGTCGATAACGTTCACAGGGGGCGTACCAGTATTTGGATCGGGGGTAGGAACCGCGCACTCAGCATCCCTCGGTGCCGTGAAATGGCCAATGATCACCCCCAAGCCGATGCCCGCTACGGCCAGAGCTACCGTGATGATCCAGAACATGGGTCTGGGCCATTTCGACTCTTTCCTATACAGCTTCTCCTCTTCCATGACGCTTCGATTGCCTCGACTGTAGATCTATGGATATGTTACTGGACCAATTGCTGATAATTATAACCTTACCTTGCACAGCTTCGTGACCCTTTTGAATTTGCAGGGGCTGTAAACCTCTAAATTTAGATTACTCGTGGGGATTAATGCTATGACCTTTGATACTTCTTAGCTAACGTAAACACTTAGTCTGGTTTTTAAACAGTTAAAGAGCCGATAAAATGCTAAACGGGTAAATACAAAAATCGCGGGCTAATTCTAGCATCTGAATCGGCCATTGGAAGGGAATATTGAAGGGAATTTTTTTAAAATGTTACTTAAACATACTGAGGTCTTAAGTACTTGGATAGAGCTTACCTCCCTGAGTCATATCCGGGAAGCATACTGTCGTTGACAACCCAACAGTTTGGAGACGGTGCTCTCAACCCTTCTGGGGGAAGGGTCTGTGATTACTTTATTGGTTCTATGAAACATCTCTATTTCCCCACCTCCCAGACCGTCATCTCTCTCACTCAACTCTTGAGCAAGTTCCGCTCGCTCGTTAAGAACAGTGACATTACTTTACTTTTTTTTATCAAGGGACACAGAAACCTAATGAACTGTGGCTTGTTTATAGCTTGTGTTCATTTCGAAATTTCAAACAGTGAGGACAGAGCGAAAAACAGTTGTGTAATCGAGATTATCTCTGCAACGTATTCTTGGATTTAAAACAACTCTTAAGATTCGGAAAGATATCACTCTAAGCTTCAATAAATGAAACATATCTGACTTTTTTGGAGAAGATAGATGTTACTTTTTGGTTAAGTTTTTGTGGGGGCATGCTGTATTTAGGTTGTACCATGCTTATCTGCAATATACAAACTACAGACTGCAGACATTCTCACTTTTTCCCCAAATCGTTCGAAAAAACATAAAGTTATAAAACTATGCTATGACAGATGTTCCTCTCTCAATATATTCAGGTATTAATTTTAACTTCATTGACCTGAGGCCTATCATAAAATAAACTCGTAATATTTTTGGGTTAACGAGCATACCGACTCACACTGACTGTCATGTATTCCAACCACAGGTTGGCAAAAATACTACTGTGACGTAGAACACGTCCATAATCATGCCAAAGTGCATGTTGTGACTCTCAAAACACACCGTCACAGACCAGTGAGCGAGGAAAAACTTTCTTGAACACATCTTTGTACAACTTGATTTATTTTCCCGAGATTTCTTAAAGTCTCCCTCAACGATCAAGACCTGAGCATCATGGGGAAGATTCTTTTCCAAAAAAATGGGCAGTTGTTTTAGGGGAAAACAACAGATTTACCTTTCCCTTTGAATTTTTGAAATTTATGCTGCCTACGGAATTGTCATGACTATAGTGAAATCACTCAACTAGAGTCTGACAATAGAGGGGTTTCACATAAGCGCCGTCTGCGCATAACTGTACTTCTGTGTGTTGAAGTTCCTCGCGCGCGCCCGCGGAGTCCACACAGTACATGGAGTATCCGGTTCGTGAGTGTGACGCCACTTCAGTTTAAACCACGCCCACTCTACAAGATACACGACCATCGCAGGTACATTAGTTCGCGGTCGATTGTCGCTATTTTTCTTTGGATTTTACGTGTCGAGTGTTCCTGAAAGACTCTTCCACAAACATTCTCAGCCTGAAAAGTCTGAATTTAACATACCTTTATGTATTTTGTGTCTTGACTCCTTACTTTCAATCGTCTGATCGTATTAAGAATTGAAGCTGACACATAGGCCTACAGCCTCGTTTTCAAACGCGGAAGTGTGCAGATCGACGCTAAAAGCGTCGTATTGGGATCCCTCTATAGGCAAGATTTTGGTGGGCTTGACTCGAATCGGTGCGAACAAGAGATTCGACTCGAGTCGAAATTTGTTGATTCGTGACCACCCTGCTATATGTAGAAGCCACTGCTTTCAGTGCCCCTTGGAAAAAAAACAGTGTGCTCAACTTCGCTTGCAGTTTTCACTACTTAGCTTGAAGTTACTGCAATATGGAAGAGTTTTCCTGTCCCACGAGTGTACGACAGTGGTGCCAAGTACACAAAAATATTTCGGGAATAAAATCAATATTTTGAGAGAACGAAATCAATATATCGAGGAATGTAATCAAGATTTCGAGGGAACGAAATACCACATTTTGAGGGAACGTAATAAAAAAATTCCCATTGTGCCTGTCCCCTTAGTGGCCGCGTACATTCAATATGAACACATCAATAAATTTTGAAATTTACTCTGACGGAGGGCGTGTTGCATAAAATTTCATTTAAATTTCCCGCTCTCGCGCATGTCGCTTAGTGTATCACGGACCATCAATACGGAAAGTTAGATATTGGCCGATAACTTTCTCGGAAAATAATGAGTATCATGCGAGAACGGTATAGGCCTATGTCTGATTTTCAAAAAAGGCTTGTAGAAATGACTATTAGACAACAACGGAAAAAGTTGTGGGGGCGGCCCGGTAAATGTTCAGAAAAGGGCTATTTTAGGGCCGAGTGCCCATTATAATGATATAAAACTACAATAACTTCCACCCTCCCCTGCTCATCGTGCTTTCTTCCCCCCCTCTTCCCACCCTCCAGCTTTGACGCAATATCATCTAATTTGCATATTCACAAGTGTGTTTACATGAGCATTACTATATGTGTGTGCACGTTCACATGAAAACCAGCCCCATTGCTTTACAGGGAAAACAGGCATGAGTGTCAAGGCTCCTAGCAACCAGCAAGAATTCAATATCTTTAATATCGACGTCTTTTCGGATGTTCGATATGAGGCCAAGTTTCCAGTCTACAGGGCAAGCGCCGCACCGCGTCTGTGCATTGATTGAGTGCTTACGCCTATGGCACGGGTGCGCATCACTAATTTTCATCCGAATGGACACATATCCGAAAACGGTCGCAAAGCGTGGTTGGCGAGTGGGAGATTGCTCTGCAGTGTTTTGCTTGCACCTGTCGCTTTTAGTCCCAAGCATGGACGATCTCAGTCACAAAATTCAGTTAAGGAAAACGGGGACAACAGGCGAAAGGCATTGTGGGTAACCTGTCTGTAGCCTGAGACTTTTTATACAACACGCTGGGGTAAAGATACTTGAGTAAAGGCTATGGCTCAGGAGGATTTGTCACAGGGAAGTAACGTTCCAACAATGGAACCTTCCGCGGGGCCCTAAGACAAGTCTCCACTCAAGACTGGCAAAAAAAAAAAAACAATCCCTGGGAAAGTACATGATGTATCCACAAACTCTTGTGTAATAAAAAAATGCAGCCAGGATTGGTGCGTGTCCATTGTGCCAACACCGAAGTGTTGAATCCAATCGCTGACTGTGCAAAAACTGTGCAATGAAGGCTTCACCAAACGAGAGGACAGAGAAGTAACCCCTTTTTCTCATTCAATCAGGCCATCAAACAACCCATATCAAACTACGGGGCGGTATTATGGCTTGAAAAGGTAATACGTCATCTGTTGATTACAGGGTAAAGGTAACTTTTCAGAACCACGTTGACAAAGCGCCTCTTTCCCCGCATGCGAAATAACTTGCGCAGAGTGTCCATCGGAAGTTTCCAGGAGTGAAGAGAGAAACGGACCAGAATAGGAAGTGCGGTGGGCCGGGAACCCCGAGACCCCAGAAGAGTCCTATATGGAAGCCGGTAACTGCGATTCCTTGCGAATTTCAGGAGTCCGTGCGCCTGAATGCTTGATCAACACCGCATAACTTTTTAGATTTTTCCCTCACCACATTTTTTCCATGTCCCTGAGCGCAGAACCCATAATACACATTTTAAGGTTTGGATACAGTGAGCTAGAGGATAGATGCTGGTGTATTCCAATTTATAATCATAATTTCCTAGATTTTCGACCATGAAACCGATCCCAACCGTGTTTGGGTCCAGTTGTTCTCAGTGATCTCATTATAAAAGCTGTGAGGTGTAGAGTGAATGTTTATTCATTTGTTACAACAACAATTTCGTTTCCTTTCAACTGCAAAATAATTAATTTTTGATAATCTGATAATTTTCAACGAGACATTTTCACAAAAGATACGTCCCATATCCCCCTGGCTCACCCCAACGTCGTAACAAATACCTTGCAACTGCCCCTCTTTCTTGTGAACGGAGGATCCATCACTACCCAAAAATACGAGCAGGAAAAATCATGAAATAAATTTAAAAGAAACGAACAATTTCTTAGTTGCTGGAAAAACAACATCAAGAATGCAATGGATGTCAAATCAGTAAATCTTTTAGTTTTTACCCCTATGTCGCCGCAAAAGGCGCCTAGCCCATTCAGTTTTTCCTCCACGGTAACCCACGGAGTTACATATAATTTTGATCTGACTGAAACTTAATGTTGTCATTTAAGTTAATCCCTTCCTCATTGGCCATGAGATTAATATTGGAATTCCGATTTACAAAAATGGCACAGCAAAAAGTCACAATTAAATAGTCAAATATGTCCCTTTCCGAACTCAAACAGAATACTGACGAAATGTACCTGTCATTTCTCAAGTTTCTAAAAATCAATACAAGTACTGGCCATTCCATAATTTCCTGGTTGCTGTGCATGGAAACGGCATAAGGGACACCGTACGTTGTTTCTGTACTAAAATGGGCCCTTCGCATTAACGAATCGCATGCACTCCTGCAAAACAGTTGTGACTGTACACGCACGATACAAAATGAATAATTATCTGCTTTTTCTTCTACAATTTGCCCAAAATTTGACTATGCAGAACAGTCGGCTGTCATATTTGTTTTCCACAACGCCAGAAAGCACACACCAAACGGCACAGTGCTAGACACAAAGTTGGGTCTGTGTGCGCGGTCTGCTCTCCAGCTGGACATGTCAACATTGACTAGGGGAGTGGGGGATGGAGAGTGTGTGGCTATTGCCAAGCTACTGTCCCAACCATTTTGTCCTGGATTGTAGCCAGAACCAACAGCGGCACTTGGTATCACCTGGCACTTCTGGGAGTGATACTACGGTACACATGAAATAAGTACATTGTATATACTAATCAAATGAGTCAAGTTCAATTGTCCACCATTCGTAACTCCTTAGTTAAAACGTGGTCCAGTTTCCTTATCACAGCTGGACAAGATAATGTGCGACTTGACTTGCCTTGGACCAAATGACTTGTGACTTGCCTTGTGTTTGGACGAAATAACCTGTGGCTTAATTTGTGACTTGGCCAAATGGCTTCTGACATGACTTGGATTTGCAAAACATAACTTGCCGCCAACTCTGGAATCAAGAGGGAATGCGAAGAGATTTGGGCATACACCGGTACAGAACGCTCAACCCGACCCGAAGCACTTTCGGTCTAATGAAACTTGCAACGAGGTTTAAGGAAGTTTGAAAATATAAAATGGCAAATGGTGTTCGAAATGTAATGCTGGGGTCTGGCAGATGAAATTCTGCATGCGACAAGGCAAAACGGGCGACAGGGCAGGAGGATAACCAGCATGAATGAAAACAGAGACCTTGACAATATTTGACTAAAAAACTCTGAGTATTGTGCCACAAAGTGTTGTGTAATTTGACCCTTTTATCATGTCTTTTATATGAATCAAATTGGGACATTCGTACTATTTTAACGGCTAACAAAACCCTGGTCATGCACCTTGAGTTACGAACGTGTTGAATGCTTGTGACTACGACTCCCAGTACAATGCGTAAGCTTACTATTCCCACGGGCAGCCAAAATTTAATATGCCATCTTAGCTTAGTGTCAGACGTGGCCTCAAAAACATTACAAAATGACCGACAAGGGCGATCTCATTTCGTATGTGAAATTGAAGGCCCTACTTATTTTTACACCACCGCGAGCGAATGGACTTTCACCGTGAGTCGATTAAATTTCGCGCGTTAGATTTTTCACTGTTTTCTCCGGGTGATATTCGGAGACAGTCATGTCGTTGGATATAACAGGTAAGGATACCATCCATAATGGAACCACTGGTTTATTGATTCAGTGTCGAGTCTTTCATTCTGGTGAAGCCTGCTAGTCGTTTCCACGCATACGGCACGTGGAGTTGTATGATCATAATAACGCAATGCATTCACGCGGGTTTTGTTAATAATTAACCTTGGGAAAAAAAGCCCAATAAGATTTCCACATCCACGCCTGCTGGTCATGATTTATCAGTGTATGAAACAGCTGTGACACCGACTGATTTTCTTGGGGAATTTTGGAAGCGTGTTCACAGTTTCTACTGTGTTTTATGTATCAGCTTACATCTACAGTGAGCAACTAAGGCTGCTAAGTCATGTGTTGTTGTCTATGGTAGACTTCAACTTCAGCCGACCACAACGTCGACAAATGAATTCAGCATGAAAGTAGGAAGGGTTTAAGCAATTCAAATTAGAGAAGCAAGCTAAATACAGTGGACAAGATAACGTCGCTCAGGTAATTCTTTGACCCAACAAAAATTGACGACACCCTAAAGGTTTCTACCAAAAGGTTTTGAATAGGGATATGGATTTTCGTCGACAGATTATCTTGATTTTGCAAGTGTCAGCTGTAAGTTACATCATAATTAAACTCAAGTCATCGGACACCTGAAGTAAAAGGTTAGTAATAAGAGGCTGCACGTGATCGCATAGTTTAACCAGAAAACTGCTATTAACTGTTTCAAGCCCAGTCGTTAGACTGATTAACTCTTTTTTATGGGAAATGTAGAGTGGAACCTGGTCTGATTTTTTTTCAATCTAGGAAGGATCCATGGGCCTATTTATTATTGCAAATCTGTTTGCCTTCCAAAACGAAAAACATTCCATCTGCGTTCTGCATTGGACTGAGTGTGAAGACGAATATTGTACTTTTAAGGGGTTTTCTCCCTCGAATTACATGACAACAATGCATGGTCACAATGAAAGGCCGAGTTTACCTTGAGGAAGGTCTTCTTTAAAATTGCATGGAAAACAACCGACGTTTCATTTGGCGTGATTTATTTATTTGTTTAGTTTGCTTTGTACAACGTCTCGTGACGGAGATCTTCCATTGTTAAATTTGCCAGAAAATAATATTGGAAAATCGTCATCAGGACAATATACGTCAGATGTCTCAGTGAAAAGATAACCAAATGGCGCAGTGACCGTGCGCGTGCGTATTGTCATCTTAAATTAATGGGGCGTGGCCAATTGCGTTGCTCTGATGTGCTGGTACTTGTGCCCGACTCGACCGACACAAACAACAACCAGAAGATATTTGTACGAGGCAGGAAGGAAACAGAAGCTGAAATAGTAGATACCATCTGATTGTTGGGCCATCAAAGCAAGCTGCTGACCGCTGCAAGCTGCTCACGCAGCGGTCCACCTTCACATAACGCAGGTCCACTACGCGATTTGTGTCCAAATTGCAGCTTGTGCAAGATGGAACAAGACATTGAGATGAACAGAACGAGCGAGTGTAGTAACTTACCATCCCTTAACTTGACAATAGAGGAAGATGCGAGTGTATACCTCCTCAACGGAGGAATCAGCACGACCATGCTGGTCGTTCTTTTCTCCATCTTGGCGGTAGGCATCCCAGGCAATCTCGCCTTTCTCTATGTGATAGCTCGCGTACCATACATGCGAACTACCACTAATGTCTACCTGGCTAGTCTGGCCATGGCAGACCTCACGTTCCTGCTTACTAGCATTGTGCAATATACCTTCTACTTCACGAATCCCGTCCGCACCCACCTCCCCACTGCCTCTGTCGTGGGTTGTGTAGGCGCCTTCATTCCGCAGTACATCACCTACTTCGCCTCCATCTCCATGGTGAGTCTGGTCTCCCACGAGCGGTACAACGCCGTCTGCAAGCCTTGTGCCAACCTCGGCCAGGGCAACAGGGTGAAGAGGAGTTTGAAGCTGGTAGCTGGTAGCTGGCTCGTGGCCTTTGTCCTAGCTGGTTTGGTGATGTTCCGGTATGCCTACCTGTTCAAATTCTGCGCAATCTGGCCAGAAGAAGAGCCGTATCACAGTCTACCGATCCAGTTAGGATACTGCGTGGCCGGCAGCCACTGGGGACTGATTGTTGGCCATGTGCTGGAATCCGCAGTCTTCATCGTTGCCATGGTAACCAACGCCATGATGTATACATTGATCATCATCGGTCTTAGCACCAGAGCGAAGCACAAGCTTCAAAAGGACCCGGTTACGCCTCCATCGGTGCACGCCCTGCAAGCTCTCCAAGTCCGTAACCAAGTTACCCGCATGCTAGTCGCCAATGGCGTGGTGTTCTTCCTCTGCCAGACGCCATTTATCGCCATATCTTTGGCCTTTCTTTGCGAGACTTTGGCCGGGATTCCGTCTGACGTCACCTACAGGAAGTACGTGTTGGCGCTCACCGTCTGCCACGTGTTTGTGTTCTTAAATTCGGCAGTAAACCCGATCATCTACAATGTGACTAGCCGCCATTACCGACAGTCCTTCGTAGAAGCCTTTTCCCTATCAACAAGCAGAGGTGGCAAATCGAACGCCAATGTTGCTGAAACGGAGCCGAACAACTGTTTCGCTCTTACAGTCAAGTGACAGTGAGCTGAGACAATCATTAGGCGGCCCTCGGGGAGAGGGTTGATCGAATTAACTTCCTCCTTCCCGCAAGTCAAGAGCGTGTAAAGACAAAGATGTGAAGTGAAATTGCAGTGGTTTCCTAACTTTATCCCGTTGTGGAAAGGTGGGGGCAGTGCGTTTGTCAGATCTGCCTTCGACGCTCCGATTAGTTCCTGTCGGACTTTTATTTCCTCTGTGCATTATTACTAGTGTAAATGGTTACAGTTGTTTGCCACCTACATATAACACATTTCAAAAAGTACACCTGATACATTGATTGAGCAAAGTGGTGGGCGTAGTGGTGGGCGTAGTAAAAGAAGACGGAACAGAAAAACACAATTAATTTTCTCTCAAAACTATAGTCTGAAATAGCTGTTTTGGGGTATAAGAAGCAAGCTTGTAGTGTTTTATACTGAAAAGTTTATTTGAAGTTCATGTTGTATTTCTCAGGTACTTTTAATTATGATAACACAACTCATTTTTGGTACGTCCAGTGGAAGTTTGTTCAATTTATCTCTAAGCAGCCACTGAATTCAAAGCATAAATTGTAACCCAGCTGTTTGGGTTCTTGACTTTTGGGGAATTTCTTGGAAGTTCTGTACTGAAGAAACCGGCACTTTTTCAGAGGGCAATCATTGTTTAAGAATCCTACAAATTCTGAGTTCAATGAGTTTGTCGTAGACAAAACAACTTCAGTTTAACTTGGGCAAATTTACCTCAGTTTGGGTGCCGATAGTTTTTTATTTACTTCTGTTACATAAATCACTTTGAACCATTTAAGGGTTATGTTCGTTCTCGATGGAAAATAAAAGAGGTTTGAACATAATTCAACAGAACCCCTGAACAGTGCAGTACCTTCATTCTGTAGACTTTTCCAATGATTTTATGCGTCAACCTGGCTTAAACAGTGTTTTGATTGCCATTGACAGTCCCAGTGGACACAACTAAATAAGCAGCTATCTCACGTAATCAAAATTATATCTGCAATGCGTTATTCGTTTGAAATGAAGTCTTCTGTCTTGAAAAGATGTCATTCTAAGCTTTAATTTGATACCAAAACAATTATTTCTGTAAATGAATTTTGGAGAAAAAAACGTTACTTTTATGTTGCCTTTTTGGGAGACCACCTTACAGATGGAGTCAACACATTATTTTGCCAAGTCAGGTTGACTTACTAGGGCATCAGAGGATCCATGTTTTTCCAACTTAAAGTCACAAACACAGAAATAAGAATCTAGGGAAAACTGGAATGATGTTAGTCTACACAATAGCTCCACAATAGTTCTAAAATCAGGGAAAATACAAATTGTCGGGCATGACGCGAGAAGCGCATTAGAGTAGCCGTGTACAGGCATTGGTTTTTTGCATTTGCCTTCATTGGCCGCATCACCGGTACCAAAACGGTCGATGGAAAATGAATATGCAGCTAAAGGAAGTCCGAGACTTTTAGGGGTCTTACTTTTGCAAATTGATAAGAGTGAGTACTACACAAGGTGAAACAGGACAATTAAAAGCTGATTACGCAATGCCCCCTAGGGGTAGCAATAAACTGAAAGTAATTAAAAATATTGATTAAAGGCCGGGACTAAGGATGATTAAATGTACCACGTAGTGGATCTAGACCTTTGGTTTCTAGAGTAAACCTATTGAAGTGTTGGCCATAAAAAAATCCAGGACTTGAGCAAATTTCTGGGGTGGGGTGCTCAACCATTAATTAACACTGTTCACAAAGACAGTGATATCCTATCAAGGGAAGGTGACTTGTCTCATGCTCTTGTTACGTCATATGTTATCACGAAAAAAAACAAGAAACAACTGCCTAAAATAAACAAATGAGCATGGAAGTGATAGGAAAGTAGGAGAATAAGCAAGTGTGCGACACGACAGAGGATTGTCACACTAAATCATGTAAACCAAAAAGGAGGCAAAATAAAAGCATATAACCAACTGAACTATTTGGGTGTGTTGTTTTACCTTGCTATGAAAGTCACACCTTCTGCAGGAGGCCAGACTCCGTCCACTGTCGCTCCACTTCTCCTTCTAAATAGCAAGGCCTATCTTTTACAGCTTGGCCCATCACCTCCGTCTATAGTACTTGTCGGCCCAACCCAACGTCTATGCGTGGCGTTGCCCACCTTCGCCTATAATTGAGTGCTTCAATCTCGTTCTACAGGATGGCCCCCTTTCGTTTACTGTCGGCCGCCCCTCCTGCTGTGTGGGCTCAGGCTATCTCCGTCAACTGTCGGACCACTCCTTCTCCAGCACGGGCCTTCGTCTATGTACTCGTCATCGCTTTACGAAGAGACGGGCATGTGGGTTTTGAAGGGGAAAAATGTTTTCGAGATAATCGAAATTGAAGCTTCTCCTCTTCTAAAAATGCAAAAAAATAAAGTAAAGAAACCTTCACCTGATTCTTTTGAGAGGCAAATTTTTACATGCGTTCATTAATTTGAGTGAACACAAGGGTTAATTAGCCGAAATTAATTTGTAAAGATGCACATCTCTTCGTGAAAACAAAAAAATCGGGGTTGACCTACTTTTATACCTTTTAGGGCGCTACGTTTTGTACGTGTTCCGGGTACAGGCATTTCGTGCCACCTCGTGAAAACTCACTATGCAGTCGAGAAGCCTGCCCCTGATGGCATTATCAATGTAATTTAGAAATATGATGTTTTGATGACGAAAGTATGTCAGAATGGTTAAGTATGACGTTTTCAAGCAACATGGTAAAGTGGAAATCAAAAATATGGTTTTGACATGCCAGTCCCTTCTTGAAAACGATGACAAGCCTCAGAGAACCGAACTAGAAATTGATCGTTCTAGCCCAAGCGGCATGTACAACAAATATTCTCCAAAAGTGTTGACGATGCAAGCAAAAGTTGGCCAAGAATGTGAGATCGAAGGCGTCTCTATTTCTCTGATAGTTTCTCAAAGTTAAATAGGAAGTTGATTAGGAAAAGGTTACCGAGTGTTGGGTAACAAGTATTTCCCTATAATAGTGTTTGATAAATATTTCACAGCAACAAGATACTTCACAAAGACAACTAGATGCTTTAACATGAAAAATACTTCACATAATAAGCAACGAGACTGGTCTCATCATACGCGAGATCCCTGCTTTCATGGTTCCGAGTCAATTTCTCTGTACAATTACATCACCCTGTTCTTATTTAATGGCTAAAAATATATCTATCGAGTTCTTATAAAAGTGTCACCCCTCATCGCAAAGAAACATCACTCCTTGATAAAGATCAACCTGTTGTTAGCGAGTTTCACAGTAAGCTGTTACCCGGGTAATCTCAGAGTGTTCACACTGCACTGATCGGTGTTGAAAATTCTCCGGGTAACTACCTCAAAATGCCTCTGTGGCCTTGAGAAAAATCTCCGGGTTACCTTCAATAATAGTTGGAATGCTCCCGAGTTTTCTTCAACCCTGTTCTGTTCGGGTTTGAACAGCACAGGCAGCGCAGCCTAATTGCCCGTGCGTAAAAGTTCTATTTGTACATGTTCATGTCCTTAATGGTAAACACCAGTCCTTCACAACCAGTAACTCGACTTGGCATAGGCTAAATGGAGCGCACAGGTCTTGACTGCATTCTGCACGCGTGAACACGTTTGGAAATTGCCAGTGGCTTGAAATTTTTGGTTTACGCACTGGACATACTCATAGACACCTGTTTCCAAACTGGCAAAATATATGCCGGCTGAATTCAAAAGTAGTTTGTACAGTGCCAGTGGGATGATCCAGGGTGGACATAAGCCAATGCATTCATTCTTCGGGTTGCCTTTTTTGCTGTGTGAATACAGTTACAAATTACGAGGGGAAAACACTAAAGGCGGCTTTCCATGTGTACATTTTTGGGGTGCGTTTAGTACACGCTGCGTTCACGCATTTCACTTTCACGGACACAAAAATCTACTCCGTTAACATAACGCACTTGTGCGTTGCGTTCAGCCGTCAAAATCGCTCCCTGGGCAATTGTCACGGAAACACAACGCTTGGCGCAGATGTTGACGCACATCTGAAAGGCGCCTAGTTGGGCTAGTTTCTACCCGGGTGTACCCAGGTAATCAATTACCCAGGTAAGGCTAGACTGGTGTGAAAGGAGGTAAAATTTCTATGTCTAGGTAAAGTTAAGGAAAACTTCCTTACTGTTTAGTTGATCCTATTTTCCTAAACAGTTGTGTTGGCCAGTGAAGAAGTTAGGAGTAGCTCGTGACTGTTGTATTTACTCATTCAAATTGCATCATCCCTTCAAGTGTTCGAACATCAGACTGTTTATGACGTATATGCCATTACGTATAAAAGTTCATAGGCTTAATCCTAAGAGTAATTTGGATGTGGAGATTACAGGGGCGTGAAGTCGAGCGAGCTAGGCGTATGGTTAATATATTTGGCAACTGATCAAGTAATATATCGATCATATCTACAGTCGAGGCAATCGAGGCATCATAGAGAAGAAACTATACAGAAAAGAGTCCAATTGGCCCAGACCCATGTTCTGGATCATCACGGTAGCTCTGGCCGCAGTGGGCATCGGCTTGGGGGTGATCATTGGCGATTTCACGGCACCGAGGGATGCGGGTGCGCGGTATACCAACGCCTGATCCCAACACTGGTACGTTCCCCGTGAATGTCACTGACCGTGTATACGCTGCGAATATTGAGGAGAATCTGTGATAGGTGCACTTAATAGCCCATGGGATCGTGGTAATTTGCGGACTAGCAAAGATCTAGACTGGATTTCAAGATATACATGTATTGGGCGGGGAAGCTGTAGCCTGGCCGTTGGGCATGGGCTAAGGCCACGTTCATTCCCCTTGACAGCTTTTATCAAACTTGCGGGTTATTTTCAGCAGAAAAAAATAAACGAAAGGGCGCAAAACAGAGTTTTGAGAGTTCAATATGCTCAAAAATTCGCTGTGCTAATAGAATGATCGATGAATTTGTCATCCGGACAATCTTTTGAAAATAATTT